TGATGTTCCACAAGTGCACAATGAAATCCAAGGAGATTCAATGAAAGGCTGACTTAAAGTTATACTCAAGAAACTTGGAAAAAATGCCAACATTTTCATAACAATAGAGGAAAGTTTATGCATTAAATTTCTACAAAAACTTGCATAAAAACTTAATCATTTAGACCAAAAATTAGTGGAAAATCTAAATATTTTTGCAAATATAATTGCGCTACAATGGGCAGAGAGGAAGTATACAGTTTTATATAAATATTGTGTGTTTATCTTTAAAAATTCTACCATATAAGCTTCGAAGGTGTTCATAAAATATAGAGCTAGACCACTTCGGTACCCTTAAAATAGTATACAAACCTCTTTATTAATATCTATATAAAATTTTATGAACCAAAGAAAAAATAACCTATAAAATGTCTGAAGTTAGTAATCAGCTTAAGTTTTGCATAATTTTGAAAGTCAAACAACTTCATCAATTTAATTCAATTCAAATTTAATATCAAACAATGCGAAACAATGAGAACAAATGAGCATCAGCTGCCAACTTAAATGTCAGTCATCTTGTTTTAGTACTCAAAGACTGTCGAACTTATTGAAATGTTGTCAATTTAGTTACTTAAAGATTTGAATATTTAAATTTTTTTCTTCATTGAAATTAGTTTTACTTCATTGCCTTCGAACAATGAATTTTCAGTTGCGTCCCTTTTATCTTGGGTCTTCATGTAAATCTTTGTAACTGACATAAAACCTTTTCATGTTGACAGCCAAATTAAACTTTAAGTTAAATTTATTCTACTTAAAAAATTTTGCAAACAATAAATCAATATTTACTGACATTTATTAAATATTTAAAATCAATAAATTCTAGAAGCGATTGTGTACTTATGAACTCATGCTTCAATAGATGACACATCAAGAACAATTGTGAATTTTTTTTTTTTTGAATTCATTTTTATAAATTTAAGTAATTTAATCTCACATATATTGCATTTAAATTAATTTTTCCTATTAAAAATTTATTGTGTAGCTTTTTATATAACATTATGTTATAAATACTTTTGACAGGGAATAAGTTTTAAAAATTTGTGTATTTTGTTGTAATGGTGGCCGTGTGCTTGCCGGAAAAGGATTACTGTAGGAAATGCAACATAATCGGAAAAGGAATAATTTCTCATTATTTTTGGCTGAATGTTCAGCATTAACAAGGATATAGTCGAAAGAGTTTCTTTCGACTCAGTATCATAACATAAAAGAAACAATAAATAAGCGAATTTCATTATAATTATTATATTGCAAAATTGTACACAGCCGAGTACTTCTCCAAATCTAACATTTTCTTTAATATTATAGTATTGAATCTCAATACAGATTTTTAGTACTTTAATTGAAATGAAATACTCACATAAGTGCTTTCTTGTTTTGTATAACATTGCCACAAAAACTCTCAGCACCTATTTTGAGGTCTTGTTTTCTTCCATACAAAACTCACAACTTTTATGAGACTAAGTTGTCAATTTCGTAAGGTTATAGTTCAAGCTACAATTTGGGATATTTGAACTGCTTTGTATTTTACATCAAATGGCATGATCCAACCAATATAATTGCTCCATTACATAGTTGCAGTGACTCATCTTCAGCGACTAAAGACAGCCTTCTGTCTAATATAGCCCGCAATAATTTATGCTTTAATATAACAAGAACCCTCACAAGAAACCCCTGTAGATAAAATAAAACCCTCCAGTTGAATTTATATAGTTCAATAAATTTTTTGTTTTGACTATTGAGCAGTCGGACAAACTGTCATGAAAGAACTTTCTTGTAAAAATCTGTGTTTTCTAAAATCGAATGTTAGGCAATCATAGAGGAAATGTCTTCCAAACACAAAATAAATGATTCTATGTTATGTTCTATGTTAAATCATAACATTTCCCAAATTTAGTTTGTAATTGTTGTTTTTTAGTTTTAATAACTAATATGAAAATAAATAAATTTATTATTTAATTTTAATATTTTTTTATATTCGAATTTTTCAAAAATTATGTGTCAATAATTGTACTGCAACCTGTGATATTTGTGGGAAACGGCTAGTCAATCATTTATAAATACTTTATAAATGTATTAAGTAAAGAGTTTTTAGAAAGTTAGAAGATACTTCATAAATTTTCATCAAAAGCTTAGTAATTATATTAATGCACTCGATGAAAACTGCACAACATTTTAAGAAGATTTATTTAATATATTCAAATGATACTAGATACTAAATAAAGCTATAAGATTAAAAAAAATATATTCCTGTAAAGGGAATATTTTCTCTATCATTTTGAAATATCATTTTATGTCGTTTAAAAACAACAATTTTGAAAAATATTTAAAGAAAATTTTTTGTACTTTAAAAAATTCTAGATAAAAAATTTCATATCAGAGCTAAACTTGATTCAATTTATGATGAATATTTTATAGCTCATTTATTATTCCGAGTACAAATCATTTTACTGGTGTGTTCATATAAATCTAGACGTGCGTGTGTGCTCATATCGTCATATCCACATATCCTCATGACAACATTGAACTCGTAAAGCATTCGAACAGAAATGTGTGTACAATATTCAATAATATTGCTGCATATGATTTTCATATACGATTTTTGCGCACACATAAGTTTATGTATCTGGCATGCATTTAAGCCACTTGTGTATCTGTGCCACGCCAATCTAGCGTAAATTTTTGTTAAAATCATTTCACAATTTTCTGTTTACCTCCGGCAACTCCGTGCCAGGACAGCTCGAGATGTACAACAAGCGCAGGCACAAATGCATGCAAGTGTATTCGCTTGTAAACCGAATTGAGCTGAGTGAAAACTATTGTTCACTGCATGCCTTCTACCCCATTGATCAGAGAGTTGTTATCTGCTCCTGCACCTGTTATGCGATACTTGAGATACAAAATGTATTATCCTTCTTGTTTAAAGGAAATTGATTTTTACATTTATTCAGCTACCGTAACAATTGTTACGGCTCTTCCAGCTGTAATGATTATATTGTATCACAAGCAATCGACATTTCCATAGCCGACTGCTATAGTGCGAAGGATATTTCTAGTTTTTATTTCATTTTGATTTATTTAAGTATCTTTATTTATGTGAAGTTTTTAAGCGATAAATAAAGTTTTATGCGATATTCTTGCCTTTGTCGATACTTTCTTGAAATTGATTCATTAGAGTTTTTCTATTCGCTAGGGGTTGCGAGTGATGAATCAGTTTCAGAGCATAAGGTGTATGCGTATGTTGTCGAATTTGATAGTGGTTTTTGTAGGTTTAAATGGATTTAAGTAATTCTACTATAGCGTATAGTGTTATTTATAATAAAATAAAAAATTAAAATAAAAAATGCATAAAATTATTTATATATTAATATTAATTAAATGCTTTGCTTTTTATAAATACATATACGTAATAACTTATTGTTGGTGATATTGAAATCACTTCAAAAAGCAAAGTCCAAACAAAAAAATTTGTACCTTCGCATCCTAGTCTTCTCTACTATGATATGACTGGCTCATCAGTATACCTATAACCTTATAGGTTTAACCTAAATGTCTGCCAAATAAAATTTATTTTTAGTCTTCTAAGACTAAGACTCGTCTTCTTTTTTTTTTAATAACTATTGCTGCGCTAGTTTGTCTTGTACAATCGTAAAGATCAATACTAGATATTCTCTCTTATTGTAAAACATAATGCAAGCATTTAACGCTACATTCTACTCTTTCAACTCATGGTTGGGTCATTAAAGCTCCAAGAATTTGATGAGTTCAACCTTAATTCCTGTGAACCAATATTATTATTTGGAATTCTAAGAGTATGCGTTATACAACTGCATTTGCATTCCTAAATAACTATTTTAGTTTTAATTTGGCTAGTACCAGCTCAAGTATAAGATACTCTCTGATACCAGCTCTGAATTTTTGACAGGATTGTACCGATTATCTTCCTTGTTTATTAGTTTATTTAAAATATGACATATTGAGGTGTCATAATTTCTAGTTCTAATAAAACCAGCCTCTAGTCTCATTAATTCTGAAAAGAACATCTTTCACTGCTCAGCTTTTATTTAGTTTTATGCTATCGAGATATATTATTGATTGAAAACATCTAGTTTTTCGCTTTGGAAAAAATGCAACCCCATTTTATGGGTATGATCTTACTTTTTAACATAATAATTTCTAGCACGGTCTGAAAACAGTTTATTTACTGTGAAGTAAAGCTACTTTGGAACCTAGAGCAACTAAGGTAAAATGGATGTATACCATCACAATATGCCAAATTTCATAATTAGGTAAATGGCGTCAATGGACACTGAATTGTGACTTATATGCTTAATTCTTTTAAGATATGAATAAGCAATGGAACAGATAAGATGGATCCTTGTCATACTTCAGACTTATAAGTGATTGGATACTTTTATAATAAGTTTTTGAAAGTAATAATTAAAAATTTATTTATTTTTGTTTTGATTAACAAACGGAATTTTTACATATTGATTCAAATGGAAAGCATAATTTAATGGTTAAAAAGATCTACTTTAAGCAATTATTCGTAATTCATTTTAATGGTTTTGCTAGTAGAGTGAGAACTGTCTTAAGTGTAAACCTATAATTGTCCATTAAAGAGAGTTGCCTTACTAAAAAGTGTTAAATTATTTAAAATAATGATATAAAGACAATCGTTTTATTAACAGGGCTGTCAATTAAAATGCTTTCCACCTTTTTTTTTTTAAATAAAAAACAAACTAGACTAATTTTATTTCGTAGGAAATACACAAAAATGTTATTTCGATTTTAATTTCATTTCAAATGATCTAATCAAACCACAGCATGTCAGTGCTATTCGAATCATGGTCTTAAAATATGTAATGCAATTAAACTCCCTTAATTTTCGACAAAAGTCCAATGTTCAAGCAAATAATTTCAAATCAATGAACGTAGCTATCAATCTATTAACAGTGGCTTACCCTGGTTTCATGTTCATAATTTCACCTAACGTTGGATTGACTTCATCGTCATCAAAATTACTATCCACAATGACGTGCGTGTATTGCTGACCAACCACATCAAGCAGTATTCTCGACAAGTCATCAAAGCGATCATGCGGTGAGGGCTTCTTTGTAGTGAGGAAATTTTGTCTCGCATCAGGTGCAGTCTCCTTTGAATTGATGGGCATACCAACACTTTGACTACCAGCACTGCCACCTGCAGCGCTGCCAGGACGTGCTTGCGTTGTGGCCGGTGTAGATGCTTCTTTCGAACCAGATGAATTGCTGTTAAATGAAACGTAAAAATAGAAAAAAATTAGCAAGGCTAATATAGGCAGCAACAAACAGTTTCAATAAACTGCAAAAAGAGTTTCGAACTTAAACTTTTATTAAAAGTTTACAGTAAATAATTACACTTAAGTTTGTAATGTTGCAAGGATTGCTCCATGGCAACATTCCATTTAGCAGCAAAAGTTTGCAACTTTTGTTATCTTATATTAGAGATTACAAGATTTTTAATTAATTTATGCGCTCAGGTGTGTAGTTTTCAAGTGCGGATATTTGCATTTTTATTTTTTTTTTCATCGTAATTTGCATTTTACTCTCCTCTAACGACAAAACTCTAAAATTTTAAGATATTAAAACTATTTTAATTTTTTCGAAGGGCTTAATAAAGTTTTAAGTAAATAAGTATTTAAGTATAAATTGCTATATTTAGGCATACAATTATGTTCTTGAAGTAAATTGGACTTGTTAAAGTGTTTGATGTAGCAAGTTACTTAATTTTATTATTAACTTTATTTTCAAAATCTATTTAACTAGAAACAGGACTCCCGCAATTACTTGTGCTACTTCAAGGATGACGAGATGATGAGTTTTTAATTAAATTTTGTTAAAGTGATTTATCTGATTTCTAATAGACTTAATATATTAAGATATAAATAGTTCAAAATATCAGGTTATATTGAGAAATAGTGCAGTTTTGTGTCACACTTTTTGCCAAAGTTTAATTAAACTCTCGAATATCCTAGGATGTGATTTAATAATTTACAAAAATTTAAGCAACGTTGATTAAAAGTTAGTTTAAATTGATTCAATAATATGCCTTGCTATATATATGTATTATATATTTTCCTTACAAAAGATATTAAGTATATATATGTAATATATATTTGCAATATACAAATATTACAAATATGTGTATAGTGACTGATGCTTTGATATATATTCGTTTGTTTAAAGTATTACTTAAAATAAAAAATAAAAATAAATTTATTATAAATTTATAATAAATATCAACAAATCTCATCATTGTTTATAATTGCTTACATGATTATAAATTTTAATAACAATGGTAAGTTAGTAAAAGGAGGACATTCCCCAAAAAAAAATTATTTAATCTCTTATTTTGCCAAAAAATAGCATGTAAATGGAATTAGAAATATGATATAGTAAAACTCGATGTTTCCACTACCCAACAGCACCGCGACTATGCTTTGCCTTTTGTCTTTATCTCAGACCAAGCAAAGCCAGATATTCACAAAGAATGTAACTATAAGTTTTATCTCCTTTCAGTGATTTTATAGTCCATCTCCTTTAAAATAATTAAACGCACGCAATAAATAATTTGCAGTGATACTATATAGGTATATTAATCATCCATGCCCTAACCAAGCATTCATGAGGTATACAAATCTCAAGGTCGAAAGGTCGAAAAGACACAAAACTTGACGTGAGGTCTGACATATCTTTCAATGATAAAAATGTAAAAAAAAAACAGATTTTTTTTGCTATTAACGGAATTACCACTGAAGGGATTACGAATATACGAATATATTGGACATCAAATTTGACTACTGGCAAAATATGGAATATCAATTTGAAATAGTATACATACTATTTTTCAGACAATACAACTGTTATCTTATTTTAACCCCCGAACTCAAAAGTATACTCGAGAGGTAATCGTTTTTAATGACAAATGAGATGAGGTTGAAATCACAAGGTAAGCTCAAGACCCAAACCAAAAAGACCATAACTAAATTCGAAACTACGGTAGCACAAGTGCATAAAAGCAAAAGAGATTAATTTATTAGGCATGGATTAAATATTGAAGATTAAATACTTCCAAACTTCTATGGTTAGTACAACTGTCGCATCAATCAATGCTTAACCTTCTTGATAGTTCATATTAACTAAAAAATTATTATGCTAAAAATTTTTCATATATTGGTTAAGGGGAAACAGTATGTTAATCTGATAAAGTGAATAAATGTTTATGTAAATGTTTACTTTCCGACCATCTAAAATATATTCGAGTTGTATTATCATTTAATCCAACTTGTGGGATATTGATATTATATACCGATTTCATTTGCATATTTTCAAGTTTAAACCTGTCCTTCACATCTCATACGTTAACTTTATTGCAGTTGCTGACATTTTACAAGCTGTAAAACTTCATTTTTAATTATTTCAAACAACCGATTTCCGTTGTTGAGAAGTTTCTGTAAAGGACAAACTTTTAATTAAGTACCTTTGAAGCGAACAAACCATAATTAAGGCCATTGTACTAGTAATATTAGTGAAATTTCGCATTTTAGTGCGATGAATTGGATCTGCGAATATGGGTACAGTGCAGCCAACAACGTGGCATTGTTGTCATTTCGCAAAAGTTTTTGTTACTTATTTGCAAAAATGTAGGAAAAAAGGATACTCTCGCAAATTCCGAATTTCGAGTCAAAAATGTTGACTTAATTATAAATGTAATGAGCCTCGTAAAATGGTTGCATTTTGCAGGTTAGTTTATGTGCATTTTGCGGTTTGTCATTCCTCCTTTTTTTTGTGGTTTGGTTTGGTGAACTCTTGATTAAGGACCGAACAATACCAATTAATAACTTTTTGCATTAAAAGAACTATTTTGTATTCAGTTAGAGTAGGGAAAATGATTTTAAACAAATAACTAAATTCAACATTGAGTTGAGTTATAACCCAAAATTTGTTATCGATTAATTTCAACACAAAAATATGGGGCAATAATTACTAAAATTATTTAGTTCAGAGTAAAAAGTAGAATTCTAGAAGAACGATTAGTTAGAAAAAAATCAATTATAAGTAAAATTTTTCAATTTACATATATATGGTGATATTTAGAGTTAACACATGCTAACAAAAAACTAAGAAAAATACTTTTAACAAAAAAAAAATATTTCTTAAATCTTGATATCATTCTTAAAATTGTTAGTGTTACATTTCAGTTTTTAATATATTCTCTTTAATTTAGTTCTCTAACTACGAACATCTCTTTATGTGATTAAGACTACCATATTTAATCATCCTAAACCTTTCCATTTTGACTTATTGTTTAGCTGCTTCAATTCGACTTCTTCCTGTATCTTGATTTATATGGGCTTCCGAAAAGAATATATATTAGGTTTGAATAAGGACATAAGGAGTGTGGAATAAAGTCACTAATTTCATATACAAATTACAAAATAACGAATTTCAGTAAAATATGTTGCTATTTCTGCAATTTGTTATATTTTATTCAATGTATATCTCAATGAAAGACAAAACAAAATAAAGAAGCTTGACAGTATTCTCCCAAATGTCTGGGTCCTAGCTTCAGCAATATTTAAGTCACAACCTTTTCGTCATGCTCTTACGCAAATTTAATTATGTAAATGTTGTGTCAGTTGCAAATCAACACAATCTAATTGAAAACTTAGAGTCACTATTCTAGTTAGATCTGTCAGAGTCCTCTGATATACATGATTCTGTAGAAGAGAGCGACTGAAATCAAGCTTCTCAAAACTGAAGTTTGTTGATTCCACCTTAATCAAAGGGAACTAAATAGAACATTACAAATAATTTTGGTATTGTGGGCGCACATAATCCAAATATTTAGGAAAATACTATGTCTTTAACCCATATGAATAAAAAACATATCTACTAAAAACCTAGATTTTATAATGCTCTTAAGGCAATTTTTTAACATTCTTCGGGATTTAATATGTAATTCAATGCGCTGCTATACTTGACATGAGAACAATATCAAGTACAGTAACTCTGCAGACTACCAATCTGTTTCTAAGACTATCAATTATTTGTAGTCTTTGAAAACATTTAATGGAATAATTGTTTATATAGGTACACTGTTGGCCTGAAGTGCATTTATGTTATTTAATAAGTGAAACTGAATTGTCTTTGTTTATAAATATAAACCGAATTTATTGTTAATGAAGTTTATTAAAAAAACGTATTTTATTAAATAAACTATAAATCAAAAATTTCAAATCAAAAATAACTCGAAGAACTTGTAATGTAATGTCATTTAATGGTTTATGGGTTAGGCTAAGGCCTTTATGTACTACAACCAGCTCGATTTATTAAGTCGAAGAACTTAAACATAAATTCATATTAGTCAACTTAATGACTATATAATAAAAAAAAATCGGCTTTAATACGATTTAGAGGACTCAAAAATTAATTTTATTTTAAAATTTGCAGCACTACATTACTGCAATATGTGGCTTTGATCGGATATAAATCACAGTGTAGACTGATGACGGGTATTTGGCACTACTCGAAATATCTGTATGATTGGTCAAAAACATTCAGTTAATTGAAATAAAATTATTTTGTTTATTTTTTTAATTGTTATTTACTTCTTTCTATATAAAAACTAGTTTAATCGTTACATTTGTTAAACTGAATTAAATTGATTCCAATTTTATTTTTTTTATTCATTTTTTGTCACTCCAAATTATAAGTTTAGCTGAGGTGTCATTACACTGTCAAATCTGTCGAAGCAATAATTTTTCATCTATTGAGCACGCCATAAACATTTTCTTATGATTTATTAATTAAATAAAATGTGTTAAATAAAATAATATTAAAAAAAATTTAATTAATAAAATTATGGTCTTGATGTCGTTATTATAAGTGTAAATGTTGTCCCCACAAAACCGAATTAGTTAACAAAATAATTCATAGCTTGACACCTGCATTTACTGGGAGAAAGACGTTTCGGGAAGTGCAATAACTTACTCTATTCCAAGTGTTTTTGTTAATTTTAATATAACTTTTAATCACTCTTCATAACGCATTTTATGTGTAATAAATAAACATTTTACGAGCCATAAATATTTTAAAAGAAATATAGTTACACATAAATTTATGAACTTTTCTATACGTAGGTATATAATATAATATTTATTAAAGTTAACCTGTCCGAAGTTCGTAAACTAACTCTATATACTCTTCCATAGCTGCGTAAGTAACCCATAAGCCAAAAGTCTTTGCACATTTTTAATACCTTCGGTTTTTGCAGTCTTACGACTCATATGTAAATTCAGTTTTAATAGACGTCATGTGGACGCAAGACCATAAGTGTTCATATTTATGTCTTTCTATAATAAAGTGAACTACGTTTTTTCCAAAATATTAAATATTTCAAGCTACGAAGTTGCATAATTTTGAGTTTTGACTTTAACAATGAAGTCATATGAGCAAAAAGTCACTATTAGGAAAGCTTGAACTTAATGCTTGGCTCATACTTGAAGAGCGCAAAGAGTTTTCTCTTATCAAATACTTTCCGGTACTTATAACGTTTTGATATGTTATTACACAACTTCCGGAACCGCATTCAAGCAAAATAAAAACTAAAGTGAAACGTTTCCAAGTAGTTGCAGTAGCGTTCCACGTCAATATGCAAAGTTTAATGCTTAAGTTCCTGTTGATGCCACAAAAGCAGTACACAAATACGAAGAGCATTAAAATTTAAAAAGGGTTCATATATTGTGTCGCCATATAAAATACTCAGAACTTTTCAGGCAGGCATACAGACAGGCAGTCAGGCAGGCTATCAGGAAAGTAGGAAAGTAGAAAAGCAGGAAGTAGGAAGGTAGACCGTCATAAGTTTTTATTGCGTTGCTCGACCGTTTAGTTTGCGAATAAAAATATGAATATTATAGTTTACGGCTTATGCATTTCTCAATTGCAATCTGCTACTTAATTGAATTACAACTTTTTGCCGCAGAAACTTACACACAAAAGACACAGAACTTTTTGCCAACTTTAGCCACACTTTTATGTGTGCTGGCGTTTCTTCGGTCTTGACTTAAGGTTTAAGCGTTAAATAAATATGGGAATAAATTAAAACACTGACCAATGCAGTTTCAAGGAATATTAAAATTGCCAACGGGTATACTAAATAACGTAGCTTTTAACCTAGTTTCGTTGTGAAGTTAATAAAGTTTATTCTCAGCACAATTGCTATAAGCCAAAACCACCAAGCATTAATATTGTGGAACTCAATTGGCCAGAAGAGGATTTGAAATGAATCCAAGGCGTAAGTTGTAATTTTCAATTATGCATTAATTATTGCACTTCCAATTAAAAGTTATCACTTTAGTTTGAGTGAGTAAATCAAATACAAGATGCATATATGTAACATTTAAAAGTGATTTATAAAGTATTAAGAGAAATAGACACACTCAATGATGGACTGAAGTTATGCTACACACCTTGATTTGATAGTTATATTAACACAGTAATAAGATATATAAAAATATTATAAGTAATTTACTTTAGAAACAAAAGTTAAGAATGTTATGTCCTTTGACAAGAAATTAATTTTAACTTAAAAGTAGAAAAGAGTGAGAAAATTTTCAAATCCCAAAGAAATTTTTAATCAAGAAATTTCTGCTGTTGGCCATGTATGGTATATTTGTTTCGCATATCGTCAAATATTTATCATCAGCCCAATATTTATTTGAAGAAATCAATTGATATCATTTTCCGTTTAAATTTATTGGACTGCAACTGTGAGGAATTCAACTCTGTCACACAAAAGTCAACCCACACTTCAATTGCCTTATTTAAATGAAGAGTTTGATCAATTTTTATTGTTTATTCATAAACAAGTATTATATTTATTGTTTTATTAATTAGAACTAATGCTTAATCCGCAATAAGAAAATATAGTCATAAATCAATTATTTATTATTATTTCACTGAATCTTTTCTGCTACTCTTGACAATTTCTATGAGTTGTTAATTAAAATATAACACACACTAGTTA